GAGACAAAACAGTGAATATCTATTTCTTTATTCTGTTTTAAAATATGAGGTCCGTCGCGACAAATGTAAGGGACTTCGATGACCCTTTTCTAACTTTGTTTTTTCGTTTCGATGTGTTATACTGCAGTAATCATTGGTAATGCCACGAAATTTTATAGTGCGTATATTATTTGAAAAAATATTCAAATGTAAAATAAATCGACGCGCAAACAAGTTTTTCATGTGTCACAAAACACAGTGGCAATTAAATTTATTTAAAGTCCATCGTATTCTCCAGGCCTGCAGTCGCTGGATTATAAGTATTTAGTCCATATAAACTTCTAATTATACTGATTCGATACCAGAATTGACAAAAAAAGAGCTTTGGCAACAGTTTTACTAGAAAACTACGAATTCGTGTCGATATTGGAGTACACCATTTGTGTAGGCGCTCTGAAAGAGTATCATCAAAACGCTGGGAAATGCATTTAATATGTGTAATGATTACTATTACTATATTCGTAATTGATTAAAGGATATTATTAAAAAAAAATCCCTTTTGTTTGTTGCGACCAATCGAATGAGTTTAAGACAATCGCTATCTCTGTCTTTTTATCACGGAACATGTTATGTGCTCGCAGTGCTTTTGAACACGTGATCAGTCGAAACAGAATCAGAAAATGATAAGTTTCTAAATAAACAAAAAAAAAATACTTACGTTTATTTATAAGATGGATTTAATTGATAAATAATTTTTTTATACAATTTTCTAAATACAATTTTCCAATTTTCTTTTGAAAAGAGGGAATCTTTATATTTATATTCACCTTGCATTAACAAATTTGAAAATGGCGCCAAAATATAGGATTAACAGTATACTGGACTGCGTTCCGTTTTAAAAAGTCACCAGTATAACTAGCTATAATGGAACGGGCTTCCAGTATACTAAATTGACGTCATACTGTTCAGTGGTCGCAGTGTATATCGGAACATACCCGATATGTAACGTCTTATTCGAATCTAATATTATATACAGGTAAAGTTTGTTTGTAGGCGTGATCTACGGCAGTATTGAGCCGATCATGGTTTTATCTACGGGCAGCTACATCATACGCGGTTATAGCTAGTATATTTATATATAAGCTTTTCTTTCTCTATTGTTACAGAAATATTAATCCCAATGTGGCCGCAGGTGTGAGCACGCATCATCAGGATGCACAAATGTTCGCTCCTCATACTCGCTTTGCTATGTGTCACAGTAAGGGGTAAGTCGGCTTGTTTTTATTACTCAATATTACTTACACTTATCTTCTGTAGAGTATATGCAGGGCTGATGTTCAGGGGGCTAATTCAGACCCGTTTTAAGCATTACAGGGAATTTCCCGGGTTTATCGGCGCGGCGCCCAGGTGCGTTGCACCATCTGCACCATGGGTAGAGACGAGCCTGGGCTAATTCGAACTTCACGTTAAAACTATTTGACATGTGACAGCGATTGCGACCGCAACGTTTATTTGGAAGATATTTATTGAATGATATAGTTTATTTAACGTTAAATGGGATTATCCAAGACAAGCATTGACGCAATGGAATTATTAATAAATGTCAAACGAAAGAGTTGTATGCTGACTACAATCTTTCGATGGTTTTAATTGAGATTTTATTACGTCTCTTGATCATTTAAAACTTCATTTCAAAAGCGACCGTGACTTTATAATTAGCCCACCAGTTTTAGCCATTTTAAGAGTTACGAGAAAGAACTGTATCGGTATTAGTTTTGCCGTATTGCAACATTTATAAACCGTTCACGGTAAAGTAATATATTTTCCTATACGCTATTACGCCAAAACCGGTTATTTTGCCCTACTTTTTTATATTATAATGAGAGGACAGTTAAACCGGGGTTAACCTAGCGAGTCAAGTAACAAAAAAACCTACAAAAGGTACTATAAAATTTCAACTTGTCATCATCACCAGTATTAACGACTGCAAATGCAGCCGGGACCAACGGCTTTACCTGCCTTCCGAAGCACGGAGTAGCTCGAGATAATAATTTTTTGGTCACCCATCCCGTGACCGACCTTTGCGAAAGTTGCTTAACAACAACGGTCGCGCGCCGAGGCTCTTAACCTCTACGCCACCGAGCTACTTCTATTATTTATAAAATTTAAGAGCCAACTTATCCAATTGTTGAAGTACAAAACAAAAATATTTAAAACTCATAGCTGTCTAATACTAGAATCTTTGTTGGTGATATACTGATAGACTGACTGTCTGAATTGGAAGACGAGAACTTAACGTTAGAATAGTTAGTGAAAGATATTAAATGAATATTTTCATTCCACAACATATTTCTCTTTCAGATACATCAGGTAGTTGGGAAGAATGGTGGACGTACGATGGCATTTCAGGTAAATACTACTAAATAATTCAACATTTCTAAGGAAATGTGTAAATACATTTTATTAGTAACATAAAGAAGGTGCAAACATATAAGTTATATACCTATATTTTCAGAGGTACATAGTTCAATTCTATTAAATTTAAACAGAAATTAAGAAAACTGTTTTTGTTATCTTTTAATTTTCGTTTAGCTGACAAAATGTTTCATATATATGTATAAAAATATCTAAGAAGTTTCACACACTCTGTCATGTTTTCATCTTCTTTTATAAATGGCTTATCTGTGCACAATTCTGCCAATGACAAGTGATAAAATCAGATACAATAAATTTATTTCTATATCATGCAAAATGAAAGTGAAATGAATGAAAGATCTTCTGTCATGTCAACTGTTGTCTGTCTTAAATATCATTATCATACAAATAGCAATACATAGACATTCAGAGGAGATTCACTTAGAATAATTGACATTCAAGTATTTGATGTATCAACGTGAAGTGGCCAGTAAGTTATAGTTAAGAGGTAATTTCATTTCACGTTAAGGGGTATTTAAAAAGAAGAGTCAGCAAACCTAATAATTATTGATACTTAAATTACTTCAAGGGCCGATTACTGTCAACTTTAAACATAATTATCTTTATCTATGAATTTTAAAGTAGAGATGGATAATGTTTGTGTTATACCGGTGACAAAAACTTGTTTAGTTTAAAAAATAAGGACATACCATGGCCCGGTAATGATAGCTGGGTAATGATCACAGATACCATCTTAATGATAGTGTTCGCCCACCCGTATCATTATATTGGGCAGTCAATGCTCAACCGACCGAAATTTGGCGTACTTATCTATTTTTAACCTACCAAGTATAAAATTATCTTTTCGTCTAGTGGTTTTTTGTGATAGGAATCTTAATAGTATTCTGTGAGTGCGTTTAATGTTATTGGCTTGGTGGTTGAAAGGAAATTTAAGGTAAAGTGTACACTGACTTTAAGAACCAAAATGAAATGAAATATTTCAGTACGATATTTACGTTTACAGGAAAAATTATTTTCTCTTTTTAAAAAAGTAAAAGTAATAAAAATAAGATGACACATTCTTCAACAATTTCCAAAAATAACGTTTATCTATAATAAAAAATAATAAACAATGATATTTATAAAATTTTTATTCAGTATATTAATTGATTGATATTTATAACGTCTATTTGAAAGATGTAAGCAGTCTGTTAGGCTATAAATTATTGTAGGTTTAGGTAAGCTTAGATTAGATTTTATTTACCACGATATCTACTCTCATAATAACTAATCTATTTTTTTTTATTATTTAAATATTTTCTTGCTTTTTCTCAGATGTTAATTTAGAACTGTTCGGCTTCTTTCCATTGTAACTCCTTGCTCACTATTTGATAGGTACGAGTATTTATAATACCATTGGCATTCTCAAACAAAGAGAATATAATTTCTTTTTTAAATTCACCACTACTATGCCACAGAGTAATAACCTAAAAATCTAGTTATGCCACAAGCAACTTATGACGAGATAATGAGACTGATAACCTAACCTTTGTAAAAGGGAATCGTAGAGTAACATCATTACCAGTGACCTCTCGTAACTAATGTAATGATAATGACTGTGCCCCGGTAATGACGTCCGATACGGACCCATATGCAGGACACCCTAGCGGCACATTACCGCAATTCAATGCGCAATGATGCCTAAATTTTGCGGTGCCCCGATTTTGTATGGAATGTGATATCGTATAGACCTGAATACCCTTTATGAGGCGGTATGGGATTATAATTTTAGTTCATAGAAGCGTAATAGAAAAGCCGCTGTTAATAAAATGTATTGGCGACTAATCGTTTAATGTGAAACAGAAATATGAGATTGGAAAGAAAAAAAATATGTAATCCTTTGCTTTGAAAAAAATCTTTTGTGATCCGTACGGTCGTCGGTTACCGATGCTCCTCTTAAGAGGTCAAACCATTTACACTGAATAAAATTGAGAATATTTTTAAGAGTTCTCTTATATTCAAAACGTGAATAAAAAAATGAAAAATCAATCTTGACATTCAAGCAATCCTGCCTGGTATAAACTTTGATTAAATTAAACATTTAACAATATAAAATTTAAGTTCATAATGGGGGATTGTTTGAAATTTTGTAGTAGGTTATTTGCAGCGTTACTTAGATTTACACAACTATAATATTAAAATTTATAAATTTTTAATTCACCATACTATACTAAAAATATTCTTAATGGAAAATGCTTAAAAAGTCCACTTTGTCCCTGACATTCTGATATGGGACTCAAAACCATGACCTTTCGCAATGCGGGCGACTGCTCTAACCACTGAGCTGCCCAGGTCCTAACAGGACCGACGCATTTTTGAAGCACATCATTTTACTTTTTCGCTACTACAGAGCGTACTTTCATCAATGTACAGGCAATCTACCCAAACAGCCGAAAGGAATATTCTTATAAATGTTTAACCTTTGATAAATTTGCTCTAATTATTATATTTTATCAATCTAAGAGTGTTTCAATTATCAATAATTTAATTTCCATTAATTTAATTTAGGTCCTGGATTTTGGGGGCTTATCAATCCTCAATGGAGCATGTGCAACAAAGGCCGACGGCAGAGCCCTGTCAATATAGAACCTGACAAGCTGCTCTTCGATCCTTGGCTAAGAGATATACAATTCGACAAGCATAAGGTATATATATTTTATTTATCTATACTTATATTGTAAAGAAAGAATTTTTTATCTGTTTATTTGTATTGACTAGAAACTGGACTGATTTAAAAATTCTTCGCTTGACATTTTTATCATACGCGGGTGAAGTTCTGCGAAAATTATTATATTACTTCAGCTTCTGTGTAGTATGACAGTCTATTCAATGGCGAGTACAGAGCGAGCACAGGGACTACTTTTAGATAAACGAAAGAGCAAACAGTCTCATTTAATTCAAAAAGAGTTAAAAACTACCTTTACTAAGAGCGTTATGCTGACAAAAGAGCATGAATTTAATAATTTTATTTCATAAATAATATTACCATATTAAAAACTAGAACAGCTCACAAATAATAAAATCAACTGTCGAAAATGGATAACCAATGGATACGCTCTAAAACGATTTCGATGTATTCGAAACGGAACGATGGTGCCGCTATAATATCAGATGAAACGACTATGGACACATCGTATTGACATAATGTTATCAGATTATCTAAATTATATTAAAATTGAATTATTTACAAAAGAAAATGCAGGTCATATCTAACAATATTCTATGAAAGACCTACATTCATTTAATTTACTAGCTTCCCTCCAGTGGTTTCACCAGAAAGGTCTTATAATGTATTCATTTCTCTTAAATCACTCTGTACATTAATAAACATTTAAAATTCCACATCCACATTTAAAAAATCCGTTGTATATTTCAAAATATTTCAGTGTACAGTGGGAAGTTACTGTACTTTGTTTTATACTTTTTATAGAAATTACTGTCGTTGTAGCGTTTACATTTCTTTATATCCAACTAGCTGTTTTTCCATAACCGCGTATGATGTAGCTTCCTAAGGTAACAAAGATCACAAGTTCGAATCGGTGTATCCGAAGATTATCTACCTAAAAACAAACAAATAAAGTTAGAATCTTTATATCTTTATAACATTATTAAAGGTTTAAATTTAATTACATTTTGCACTATTGCAAAAGGTTGTGGTGCAATTCCCCATAAATTACTTTATTCATACAACCTTAAGCTGCTTGAGCCGGTCGTATTTAGCATATACGAGTAACGGTCACAAAAACCTAGTACCGCGATAGGCTATCGCCACACGCATACATTACCATGAATTTACCAGCTGCAATTCAGTCTAAATGAACAATACTCCTTGGATTGTCTAGACCACAACATGTATTAGTAGTCCCTTATTGTATCTGATTGTTTACCTACAAAGAGGATTTACTTTGATATTCTGTAAAACTACAAAGTGAAATATGGCGCTGTCACTAGAGGTTCAATCAAAAAACACCAAACAACCCAAAGGTTTTTTTCTATACAATAATTCAGTCTCGACTTATTCCTCAAGTCTCTCTAGCATACCTACTATGATACAAAGTTTGATGACGAATCCAAGCCCTAATAAATACTTTACATTTAAAAATTAATATATGTATTGTCGCTTTAAAGTAGTGACAATAATATACGTCACTGTAATTAGTATATAACACGTTACAATCAATTACTATTTAAAACATTTATTTCCGATTTCAATGTGACATATATCTTTAGTAAATTTCTAACTACTGGTAATCTATTCACAAAATATTCAACGTTATCACTTACATAATAAACAGTTTCAGAACTTCACAAGGGCGCACCCCACCTTCACACTTTATCTTTTTTGTGCCACAGATATAAAGAACATGGAAAGTTCAAGTCGACTTTACATGGATCGCTTATTTTAATGGTTGTATAGTTCAATATATACGATAGTTTTGGATCCATTCATATTTCTAAAAGATATTTGTTATAATTACTAGTTAATAATTTTTTTAAGATTGTCGTACCTTGTATGTAAAATTTACTATTACTATTATTTGGTACCATTTTTGATAATATGCTTTCATAGACTAAAACTCTAATACAAGCTAATGAGGTACCCTAATTTGATATCGTTAATTTTATCCATGACAATCACAATGTTTATATAGATATTTATTACCTATTCACTCGTTTGCAAATAAATTTATATGCTGCATTAAATATTCAAATTTTTGTTGCTATTTTTAACGTTATTGGTATCGGAACCATTCAGGATACACAAAAATACTTGGAATTCTCAGACTATTTTGGATTACCCGTGGCAGTCGTATTTAGCCGACTTAATTTTAAAGAATATTTGTAGGTGATCATGTAGGTGAAGTATACGGTGAAAAATTAAAAACCATATTTGAACACAGAACGTGACACCTGAAAAATAATCTATCAATCTCACTGACATTTCTTTGTTGTATTTTTTTTCCTTAATTGACTCTATCATTACAACAATTTTGTATGCAAATTTTATCACATGAAAACAAAGTAATAATATTTTTACCGATGACACATCTAGATGTAGACTTTATGTCGTTGTTGTTTGCGTGTCAGCGGACAATATGTCATCTCTACTCAAAGCTTAGTAAGTTCTAGGCTCTAATCAAGGTGTGCCCATTGATTGATACGATCTGCCCCGCTGCGCCGGTCGTTAAGGCCGATTCATTTGATATTACCTACCACCAAACCGGTATTCTATTTTAATGATGCTTGTGTCGAAAATCGAAGGAAATTTTAATTCCATTTGATGTTTTTCGTGTGAAGGTAAAAGTTAAAAAACTATGAAGTAGAGTTGCTTGTATATTTATATCTATTTTATATAATGCTTAGTCGATTACTGAGGGCTTTTTAATAATATATTCTTACAGTGCCATTTATAAACAAGGTTTAGCGCCAGAGTAAATTTACGCTAAATTCAACTTTAGTATTAGTCCATATTCATATTCTACAGATAATAAGCAAAACCTACTAGGAGTTAATAATACTCCCGTAGAACCTCGTACTAGGTTAACCTATCTCCGTTTAATAATATGAATTTTGACTAATACTAAGTGCAATCTCAGCAATAATACTGTTAAAGTTTATAAAAGAAGAATGAAACAAAACATGGTATAAATTTGCCAACGACAACGTTAGACTAGAATTAGTTAATCCTGTAGCCAATTTTTTCCTCCAAAAATCATTTTTTTGCTCTAGGCTGTTACAGACACTCATGAATTTCAAAATACTGCTCGCAAATCTATGGCGGGAGACTTTGTGCTGAGAATAAGGGACAAGTAACTTAGCAAGGGCTGCATTTTCTCCTTATTATATTTACGGAGATGTACAATTGAAAAATGATTTCATCGGAATCATAAACTAATCAGAAGTTTTAACGCGAGAAGATAGTATTTACTAAGAAAAAAGTTTCCCGGTTGAAATTAGATCCCTATTTTCACCCTTTAAAGGAATCATTGGTGAGTCCAAAGCGTTGTTTGTCCTTTCCGATGTCGCACACCATCAACATCATACCATACAAAATTGCATCTATTTCAGTTCAACTGTTGAAGCTTGAAAGCGTTACAGACAAGAGCTACTTTAACATTTAAAATATTATTAATATTTTAAAGTACCTATCAAGATCTTTTCAGTTACTAGAGTTATAGTTATAATTATACAACTTGTTTCATTCATTGAGCGGATTGGTTGAACAGATTTTCTAACAGTTTTCATGAGTTCCCTCAGGCGTATAGTATAATTCATTAAAAGTTTAATGTAAATTCGTTGAACATCCGCTTAAAACTAACGATGTAGCTTAGTACGGTACAATGCTGGAAGAAGACTATATTAACCAACGTCAAAAATAGTTTCGTTGGAATGGAACAATGTTCCTATAGTTAGTCTATATGGACTTTGAAGCACATTTGATAAAAAAATTTATACATTATTATTTTTAGACTAGGTACTTAGCTTTCAACTAAGGAAACATCACATTGCATGAAAATCCGTTCAGTAGGTACTTTTGAATATACCTATATAAAGTATTAAAAATTTAGTCAGCTTTAAAAAAAAGGAATATAAAAATACTTTTTATAATAAAACCGATTTCAAAAGTACAATATAATTTCTCCTGATTTATTGTACACTCTTTTTAAGTCATTTTTAGTACTTTACCTAATTTTAAAATAATAAATCTGTGTTGACGCAATGTGTTTTTACCTGTACCGTCATTAGTGCCTATATATTTATTACAGTAAATCGTTGATACCAGCCAGACACAGTATACAAACACTTGGTTTCTGAATCAAGAATTTAAAGTTAAGCACGTTTCAAACCTATTATTTTTATATAGTATTGTCACTGGTTAAATTTTTTAAAGACTAGTTGTTAGCGGATTAATAAAACTAGGACTTTTGACTTGTAAAACGTAAAAAAATCTGAATTAGGTGAAAACTACAGTGCTATTCTGAGAAAAATACAGCTTCGAAAACAGCATTGTCACAGCATTGCATTTTCAATCAAATAAAAACATTATTTTTTAATAAAAAGAGATGATTTTTTAAGAGAATGGAAATTCTGGTATGCCTTACATGTTTTAATACAAACAATTCACCTCCTTCAGCGCGTTGGATAAGGTTCGTTTCAGAAGCATAGTCTTAAAATTTTAGACACCAGCAATGTTAAAAAAAGTTATTGAAAAATGTGTAACGAGTCCCTTAATAAAAATAAAAAATGTGTTATTTCTCAGGTCAGTGGCGTTCTTCAGAACACAGGACAATCCCTAGTGTTCAGAGTGGAGAAGGACTCGAAGCATCAAGTGAACATCAGCGGCGGTCCGTTGTCCTACAGGTACCAGTTCGAGGAGATCTACTTCCACTATGGCATGGGTGATAACAGAGGCTCCGAACACCAAATCGATCACCACACTTTTCCAGGAGAGGTGAGAATATGAAAATAATTATATGTCATTTCTTGCACTGCAAAACTTGCATCAGTTTTGCACCGGCTCTGAATGTAAAAGTTGTATGGTACAGTATACATAATTGCCATTTGCACATGCATACGCACATGAAAGACATGTTCCCATAGCAACTTCACAGTATCAATATTGAAATACTGTATAAAAGTAAATATGATGTTGCCGTCCATTAATACGAATTTCCAAGGAAAAAACAGATTTCGTTTGCAATTTTTCCGAGAAACTTTTATGAGTTTTATTCCCATCAATCAAAACGATACAGATTCCTCTCATATCGCTCTCAAAGAGCAGACTACATTTTCATTACACATTGATTTTTATTTGTAAATAAAAAATGAATAGATCGGTAGCGTAGTGGATAAGCACGGTGGCTCGCGATCGTTGTTGTTAAACAGCTATCGCAAGGCTTGGTCACGGGATGGGTGACCAAAAAAATAACTACGTGCTTCGGAAGTCACGTTAAAACCCTCCAATCCTCATTAAGCCAACGTGGAGGGTCATGGCCCATTCTCCTTCACTAGCCATAAGGGAGGTCTGAGCCCCTGCAGTAGTGACGTTAAAAGCTCACAATAATAATTAATAATATCATTGGAATTGTTTAAAATATTATCATCATTCATATTGTTTGCAATTAGCCCCAACTTTTTACAAACATGTGCAATAAAGAACTAAGTCATTCTCACTATTAGTGATAGAGATTCAGTATGAGAATTATCCGTATTATGTCACTTGATTGCGACAAAGTTTATAAATCAGATAACATGTCAATTAATAATTCAGTATCCGATTGCCTAGTTAAATCAAGGGCCATTACTATAAAATAATGTTCCGTGTACGGATTTTTTTTAATCAACTCCTCTCATTTGTTGTTCAAGAAAATTAACCACTTCCTAAATAATGTCCAACAAATAAATCCAAAAACAGTATGTTTCCTAAATAGAAGAGATATTTTTCTTTAACGAATGTAGGCATATAGTCAAATCCCTGTTTATACCCGTACCACCTTATAATTAACCGTAAAAGAGCAACCTATTTTTTATTATTATTATTTTGGACGAAAAAAAAAATCACGCACTTTGAATAATATGTGACAGTGGTAATCTAGCAAATTGCCTAGCTCACCTTCACCATCAGTTATAAATTATTAATCTACATGTCATCGAATAAATCCTGTCTCAATCAAATAACCGATGAGGGAATATCTTTCCCAGTCGCATCTTAGACTACGAGTTACCAATGAATGATTCTTGTACCTTATTAGCTAATGGATTCATAAACAAATTACAAAAATGCTATATAGATTTTTATTGAATAATTTTAATTTGAATATTGAATTACTGAGAGATACAGTTTTAATTGGTAAATATTTTACATTACAATGTTACAATGAACGTATCCTCCGTGTATATAAACTATTCCGTATATAAAAATAATTCTATTTTGCAATGGAATTATTGGATCGGAGGGCGTCTGAAGTCTACGGATAGTTGACATGGCGCGGTTTGCTCTCACATAGTTGCCATTCCAACTGAGCTGTTAACGAGCGATCATTAATCGGGACTTAATTATTTGAAAGCGAAAATAAAATTACAGTAAAGTTGCGGAAGAAAAAAGAAATATTCACTGTCAGTTTTCTTTCTTCTGAAAATGTTTATTTTTAGGTCCAAACTATTTTTGACAGTTTTCTTTATTAGTATGTTGGTGTAGTGCTTAGGGTTATTAAAATTTGAGTGGTAAATTAAATTATTTTTTGATATGACAATAAAATTCCACGAACTATCGAACTGGTAAAACGGAAATTGTTGTTATTGAGATTGGCTATATACACAAGTGTGGTTGCCGATATTTTTAAATAACCCTGTATATACTATAACTAGCTTTATATACGAGTATATTACTAGCTGACACGACAGACGTTGTTCTGTCATAATTACAAAATTTCAAATTCTGACCATTCTATGTCAAACTTCATTATAATAAATAAATAAAAAATCCCATTTATTAATTCTCGTTTTTAAAAACTCCAACAAATTTCAATTTCATTTAGGATTCAATTTATTCATTATTCAATTCTAATACATTATTTGTTTGTCATTTAATATTTAAGTTCATTTGTTAATATTTGTAATTTGATTAAGAAAAAAGTTATATTTTAAATTTGCTTGAATTTTATAATTATGCATTATCCATTTTTAATAATTATTCATTATTATTTTTATTGTTGAGAATCACTAACAAGGGTAAAGGCTAAACTTCATTAGGTTACATTAAAAAAGTTTATAGTTTCCAAAACACTAAGATTAGATAAGAATTCATTTTATACCTTGATTATATATTCTTAAATTTTCAAATTTCCTACACAATGTTCTTATTTTTTCTTTCATAAGAATCTTCTCTTGACAATAACAAATACAACAAAAATAGAATTAGCGAAATCGGTACAGCCGTTCACGTGTGCTGGCGTGACCAAGAGAACGGAACTTACGGAAATATACGTATATATGTATATTTCCATAAGTAAAGCAATTTAAATCCAATGGTTACGGAGCCTATTCTAATTCCAATAAAAAATGAAATTATATCTCTTCATAATATTAATCTCGAAATATGTATTAAATGTAAATAAACTGAAAATGTCTTGTATATTTTTATATAAAATGCCGTAGTCTAAAACTTTCGTCATTGTTTTGTGTTGTAATTATGATATCTAATAAAAGCAGATACTCAAACTCAATAAATAATTTTAAACCAGAACAGTGACAATAAATATCTGTTCCAGCCAAACTCCACAAGAACGGATCCATTACAAATTAGCACCTCCCAGTCGGGTGTCATTATCGAACCTCTTTATTGGTCTTTGGAGAATAAACTTTCGTCGTCACATTTTACTAATGGTAATTGCATATCTATCAGAGCCGAAGGAAACGAATTTTCTTTACATGTTACATTTTTAAAACTCTAACGGTTCGGCGCGTACATAAATTTGTATACAAAGAATTGTAAAATGACTTTCTTTCGCCTCGTTCGGCTTCTTCTACACTGATACAGGTCATATAACCTGAAATGAGTTACGTGTCGAATCAATGATGACATTGAAATAACTTCATCTTAGATATACAAATCTTAATACATTAAGACATAGATTACTTATTTCAATAAATTTTATTATTGCTGTACACCAATGAATGAGTGAAATATTTTTGGACAAAACATATGGATACAATAAACTATTAAATCGGCTACTTTATTACTAAAAAGGAATTTCTTCCGAACAACAGTTATAATAAAATGCTAATATTTAGGATCAAATATGACAAAAACATTATAATCTTAGTCAAAATTGGTTTCATTAAATGCTTATTGTATACATAAATGCAAAAAATTATCAGATAATCACCATAATATTTTAACTTTATTCGAGTATTAAATAACATCTATTGCATTCATTAATAGCATTAGTAACCAAAAAAATTGTAACTGTATAATTTTCAGTATAAAATTTTACCGAATAGAATTATATATTAACATATCTAACATATTAATATATCGATTTATTATTATACTATTTACACGTATAGTAAAGAAATAAAGATAAGTATAATCACTGTGCAAACACACTTTGACATTGACTGGCTTTCAGAGCTGACGACAACCAGTTGGTTCTTCGATCGATTTTAATTAGTGAAATACGAAGCGGGACACAAAAGTTCGATAAATTCGCCAATTAGTAAAATTGCGTTAAATATATATTGCTTTTGAACATTTCTATCTAACGAGCGTGGCCCAATCAGTTGATTATTTCGACCTGCGCTGCGGTACGCCCCATGTTGGCATTGAGTCGGCTTACGTTAGAATACAATTGAAAAGCTAGAAATTCGTTACTTAATGTTTAACTTGTAATAATCTATACTTAAGTGTTTTCAAATTTTTGAGTAACTTGCTCCGATTATTTATATTTAACCTAAAATAATCTAATAAATTAATAATTATTTAATATTAAAGAGTACTCAAGCCTATTATATATATGTACATACACACATCTTTATTTTGTTATAGAAACAGCCTAGAACTCGACAATAAGCGTATCACTATCACTGCATAGAAGTTAAGTGAAATAAAACCTACTTGAGAAGGTAATAAAGCTTTTATTCTATTGAAGTTCTATTACGTGACAGCACTAAGTTCCGCGTCGCGTTCGTCACGAGGCACGCTCTCTACGTACGTTTCTCGCTTCCTTCAAATCAAGCCACGATTATACAGCTTCTATCATAGTTTTTTTATTGCACATGGTTGTAAAGGATATCTTCTCCTGGACTTCTACATCATTTCACTTTGACGTTGTGAATCAGTTCCATATTTCCTTTAGTAAATACATGTAACTTTCTTTGATCAGGTTTCATAAATAAAGATTTATTTTCTCATATATATATTTTTAATAAGTAAGCCACAGATGCATATGGGCATGGCAAGGACATGCACCTACGTAGCTACTACTTCCCAGAAGATCAATTGTGCGAATCATAGTGTAACAAATATATCAAAAAATCTTATTTAAACAATGATTCTCTAATATTACTACTTTTTTGTTCCTAGATTCAGTTATATGGCTTCAACAAAGAACTATATCACAATATGACGGAAGCGCAACACAAATCTCAAGGCGTTGTTGGAATTTCACTAATGGTTCAGGTAATAAACATTACGAACAGTGAACTGACATAACTTCTTAAACTGTACAACAAATGCCTTATGACATTTTTTGCTGGATAAGCGAATGTTGAGAATGCCTTGCGAGTTTTAGTTAAGTCTTTAATATAATATTAAGTAGTGAAGTGTAATGTGAAACAGTGGTTGGTAAACTCGAAATTCTAACATTATTAAAATTTCATTAACCGTGTTATTATAATTTTATGAGATATTTTTTGATTGTTTAAAATTTAGTAAATATAAGCGTTAAACGGATGGTAAGTGTTGCTGAAAGCCACCTTTTTTATAGATTCACTTTTTATATTTTGGATTTGTATTGTCTATTGATAGTGAAAGCAGTTGTTTCGTTGTTTTTTGCAGCCTGAGTGTTTCTAATATATTTTTGAGATTCTTTACCCTTACATGCCTTTTTTTATTAGCCTATACTTACAGTCCACAGTGTTTAGTAAGTATAATGTTTTTTAATACAATTAAATGTATAATTGTTATAATAAGTTTAGTACTGTGCGCTATTTCTCTATATAGTTTTAGATTGTGCTGAGTTCATTCTCCTAGTGCGATTTTCGTAAATACTGCTCCGAACCTTTGCTTTATGAATTAACATAATAATTATTATGTGATGGGAGTTTTATGATGTATACATTAAACATCAAGGTGAGGACTCCTCGCACGTGTAATGAACGACATAATTACATTGGTCCTTATACAGGATGTAAGCTATTACTGTGGCTTATTTTCATAGATCTGTCATTACTTCATTGACTAATAAATGAGTCCACAGAAAAGCTAATGTTATTAGTCGTTCGAATTTGACAAATGAGTCTCAACAAATCTGAAATTAATGTTTTTTACTTTGATTTATATATTTTTTGTCATAGATTGGTGAACCAACAAACAAGGAATTGAGACTTATTACGAGTGCTTTCAACAAGGTTATGTTCAGAGGTATGTCTTAAATGTACTGTAAATAACATGTACCAGACAATCTTGTAGGCAGTAGATGAAACAATTTAAAATGCAATTTATTATTTGTTCCTACAGGCAGTTCATACCCTATCAAACATCTACCACTCAGCTCCCTGTTGCCCAACACTCAACAATACCTGACCTACGAAGGATCTACCACTCACCCTGGATGCTGGGAAACAGCTGTCTGGATTATCTTCAACAAACCAATTTATATATCTAAACAAGAGGTACGTATTAGAATGCTTTTAGTTAGGACAATAATGCAACCAAAAAAAAGAAAACAGAATTACTATCCGATTATCATGTTTCTAGTTATTAAAAATTTCCACCTTTCCATAGCATTAATACATACTTTTTATATATAAATGTATGTAATGTATTAGATGTACGCCCTCCGGCAACTGATGCAAGGCTCACAGCTGACGCCGAAAGCACCTCTTGGTAACAACGCGAGACCTGTACAACCTCTGCACCATCGGACAGTCAGAACTAACATCAACTTCAACAAACAGGGCACGCAGGTTTGTATATCTATAATCTATCATTTGATCTCGAGAGCTTCGCACCGTCTTTAAACTAGTTTAGATATACAAATTTTTGTTTTCAAATCGTGTCAAATGTTGCCATTGTTTAGCTGAAAAAGCTTGTAACAATTTATATGGGATACGAAGAGTAGATTTCTTACTATTTCCTTATCAATTTTGCCAAATTATTTCAATCTATATGAACTTTTCGTCATCTTAAACAATAAAATTTATTTTCTTTTATTGAGTATTGTATTTTCATTAATGAATTTTAATATTATAGTGAGTTTTGTTTTAATTTTACATCACGTTAATATCTAAAATATAACAAATAACTGAAAACATACTGCTTTGCCCATTAACTATGAATAAACTTCTCTTTCTACCCAAATGCATTTACTGAACAACTCTAAGTTATATCATGTTTATTATTCCCTGTTAACTTGGCTACACTTGTGATAACTAGTCTGTAACACGACTGTTTTTATAGTCCATTGTTTCTAGAAACTTCCCTGTAAAGTTGTCGTATGCTACACTTACAGTACGTTCATTGATAAGACTAACTTTCACGGATTTGAGCCGGTTTCGCTGTTGTTATAATTGCAATTAACTAAGCATACTATATTATAGTTGGAGCAGTTGTGTTTGAAATAGATTAATGGAATAGAATTAATGAGGAAAAAATAATATCACCCTTTTTCTGAATTCAGAATTTAAAGTTAACAACGTCTAAATCTGTATTTAAACCTCACTTAATCAGGTTACGTTTCTGATTTTAGTTTTTTTTTAGTTTAGGTTAGAGAAACATCTTAAGAATAATTCAGTTGAGATTTTGTACTTTTCTCAGTTCAGAAACCGGCTGTAAGTCTCCCGATTAATACTTGATCCGATTGTGACATAGCTGTTAAGTACGCAAACAGTTAAACTATGCTTAGTCATTTTAGTTTCAAGTTAATTATGTTTACCAGAAATACAAATACTAAAAAAAAAAAAAAACTACTTCTAATAAATACAAGACTATGGTCTTGTATTTATTAGAAGTAGTTTTATTATCAGTCAACTAATTTACTTTGTAACATTAAAAAAATATATATTAATTTTGGGCAAATCAAAACGGTTTTCAATAAACTTATTTGAATAAAGATTATTGTTATTTCATTTGTTTGTATATTTTAGATCCTTTGATATCATATAGTGTTTTAAAAGTTGTATTAGTTTACTAAACAATTCTCCTTTAATTATGAAATAGAATTGAGATGGAACAACAGTTGGTTAAGAGGATAAAGCAATGTCCATTCTGCAATTATACAATACTATGATAGTGTTTAGTACATTGAATAACTACAGTTAGAGCTTTATTGCGTCGATTGGCGACGATAAATCGAGACAAATCCTGCATTAAGACGATGCCGTTCCAACGAAGCGTAAAATATAATTTACGTCGGCTAGCGTCGGGATCTACTAATTAATTTGATGTGGGTGCACTGTGGTCTAGGGAACGGTGTCTCTTACATTAAGACAGAAATTTCTAGTATTAAAGAAGATTTTCTCTTTAGTAATTTTGTGTCGAGAGTTGTGAATTGAATTTCAACTGAAATTTGTTTTGTATAGAGGTTCATATCGCCTTTGAGGGCATAATTTCTCGTCCAAATATTTGTATTTAATTAATTCATTTGCAATTTCCCTTTTAGCGTCGAATCATTTTATTTATATTCTTGTTCTGGTTCTACATTTTAGTTGTTATCAACTATTTTTGTATGTATATTTGACTGATATTATTTAAAACCTTTCTGCTTTTAATAAACCTTTATAATTTCTTTATTTACCTTTTTTATCGTTAGTGATTATTAAGTTCATGGTAAGATTTCAATTCAGTCTACCTGGAAATCGGTCCTCCGAAGTCACTAACGATACCGACGCTTCAGGGCTAATATTACATATGTCTGTTTCAGGTTTCTAGCAACTGTCCTGACATGTACCGCAATATGCATTACACAGGTATAAATTAAACTCAATGAGTCGCAAAAATATTTGTAATGATAACAAACCAAACAACGCTTTAGATAAAACGCATGTAAAAATTTGATAATTTTGCTCTCCCAAATTATTATTAATTTTTGTAACATAATTGCATGTCTTCCAATCACTTTTGGCTGTATAATAAATAATAATAAATAAATTTTACATAATTATGTATGCAACTCTGGTTACAACCGATTAAATATACTGACTTTGAAAATTAATAATATCGATAACACAAATTTTTGTAGAAATACTATCGCTACTGATAGTATCTTAAATGAAAGAAGTATTAAAGAACTATCGAAGAACTAATAAAGTCTCTAGTTAGAGCCATAAGAAGTATTAATGTCAAGCATTGATCAGCTTCGACAATTTGTTTAAAATACTAACACATTATTAGAGGTTCAATCAAATAAAACAAAGTCTGTTTTATTTGACAGAATGATAAATTACGGAATTATTAAAGTATTTAACGCTGCATTCGAAGCTGTTTTATTAACATGATAGTATTTCATGACGTTCAGTGACTTTAAATAAATTGGCGGGATGTAACACAACATAAAAAAAATTCAATATTCTAAACCAAACCATAAATTATTGATTTACAAATAAGTTCTTAAAAGTCACGGAATGTTTGCCTGTTCGTTTGAATGCAATAATATTGATAATTGGACGTCTTGTTATTGTTCTTTTATTTTTTCAGCACGATATTCGCACAGATCACGGTCGAAAAAAAGTATTGCATGCAAAAAAAAGAGCGCACCACAAAAATGTCACAAGAAATAGGTACTTTTCATTAGCAATATGCCACTGCCTTAGTTTTGTTATAGACTTCCATTTTTGGCTTCTTGGCTATGCTATTAATACTGGCCATTCATTTGTTTTTGGTGACTAAATAGCTACATAAATAGATGTCTATTAATATAGCTCATAGTTCCGAAAGATTGTCGCCTCGGTTCATTGCACGCTTAGCTAATTTATAAAGAGTTAATTTTTACTTTTACTCATTATTATATTAATTTATTTTTCAATAGATTTGTACGCGTGTATTTTATAATTTTGATAGTTTTATTAAGCGTATGGGAATATTACTCAAACCATCACGCATTCAGAATGCTATATCGGTAAATATATTTAATGACAATTTTTTAACTTTTATATATAATATTATATTGTCTTACTCAAGAAAGTTTCAATAGTAAGGCTGCATTTACACCAAACTGTCAGCTGCCGACTGTGAGTGAACTTTACGAAGGCGATTCCATTTCCATAAATAATCTCCTTTTTGTTCACACCAAACAGATAATACATCAAGAGCAATCACAATAGAGTACAGTCTGTGGCAGCGAATTCTACGTTTGGTGTAAACATAAGCTTCATAAAAAACAATCGACTACTATCTCTCTCAAGAACTTGAGGTTGTCACGTAACATAAGCGTCGGGTTGTCTAAGACATCTGACACATGCTGAGTGGCTGCGTTATCAGTGTTATAATAATAGTAGTATCCTTTTGACACTTTCCACTGAATAAAAAAAAACTTTCTTTCCATCTTTATATGCTATTGTGTTTGATTACTTTCCAACCTTATTTGTCACTTCGATGCTTGCCCAGATTTGCATCAATGCATTCTGTTTCTATACATTTCTAATTAAATTAACGGATATAATAATCACATAATATAAATATTAAATATATATTTAAAACAATTACATTCAAATAATAGTTGTTTACGGCATATGAGGACTCGATAATACATAAGATACATGTAGGAATTCCGTAAATAATTATTTCTTTAATAAAAATGCATAATTTATATTATAATGACCAGTATCGCTATTTCTCACTGACCAAACATTGTAGTTAATGTTAGTATTGATAAATTAATTAATCCGTTGCAGCAACACAATGGCCCAGGGATCATAGCGTCCGTTATCGGAGCACCGAAGATCTCTCCATGTTGTCACCAAACTAAACAAAGTAATTTGTAATTTAATATTATAATTATTTAAGGTCGGTTTTAGAAAATAAAATGTAATTCTAGTCTCTGATGTATTTGAGAAATTTAAAGAATTATAGTTCTAGAAAACAATAGAATTAATGTATTGTAAAATGTCAGCGTATTTCTACTACTTTGGTGGAGTAACTAATAAGTCGGAGTCGCAGTGTCCCCATTTCTGAGTACCCAGGTTCGATCACCAGTAGGGTTTATATAGATATTGAATTTTTCTTTATTGCCTTGAGCTGCAGTTTTGTTGTTTTTCATTTTTAGAAAGTTAAGAGTTTTAATTTCTTGTCTTGGGATTAGGCTCTCTACCTTGTATCTAAAGCTATGATTGATCTGTCTAAATGGAGTCCTGAATGTTACGTCGTGCTGACAGATCAGCGACAGAGGATTGGTGTAAATCATTTGTTCCCAGTGGGATCCGACGACTCAAAAAAAGTTTTCGAAAAAAAATCATTAATTTATCTGTCATGCGATGACGAATCGCAACAAGAGACCACAAGATTCGTTTAGTACCTACAAACGGGTCGCGACTCATAGTTTGAGAAATAATAGTCTCGATCAACCCATACTTTGGGAGGATATATATATGGCTTCAGTTACGCGGAGAATTACAAGAAATCGGAAGTTATATTGTTAAATATCTAATTGATATAATGTATTAAGTAATTTTTGAATATCGTTGCATTAATATATTGTAATTTAAATTAAGATAAATTATACAGTTCTCATTAATATTTTTATCCGTCTTCTCATTTATAATTTTATTTTTATGTAAATAGATTAAAAGCTATTTGTTATTTAAAACATTTAACTTTCATCAAATATTATATAAGATAATATTAGTCCCTTAAAATCATGGAAAATATACCAAATTGAATAAATTTTACAAAGTGAAACCATCTATGTAAGTTATAACCTTTAAAATTACCAGCTTAAATATATAAATCTTAAACGTGTATATTTAGCAACCTGACAATTATTAAATAAAAGTAATATATAGCAATTAAATTGTCAATTGTGTAGACAATATCTTACTTACTTTCTATCTAAGCAATATTAATAATACTATGCTCCTTTAGCCATCTCAAAGTCCATATAAAGGTTTATTTTGTTACGTAGCTACTCTAGCTTTGAAAATGCTCAAATCATCTAATCTCCAAATTAACCTAATAAAGCAATATTTTTTTTTATATCATTTTAGAAATTTATGAAAACAAAACAGCTACTTTATAAAAATACCGTATACACTATAACCTTTTACTTAATTTATGTATATTAATTAGATACACAAAACTTTAATAAGTTGTTAAAAAACATTCAACTATTGCAGTTTTGTATCTAAATGTTTTCCTTAATAAAAAATATCTATGCCAATTTTCTAGAGTAATTTCTATTATTTCTGTGACTTAGCTACAATACAATTTTTTAGGCTAAAATGCATAGTTGTGTATAAATGTGTATATATCATATTTAAATCTAATCTAGACTCTTTAGGAATAATAAAGGAATATCATAATTTCGTCCACACTGTAAAGTGTATTTAATGCTAAATGAAACACTATTCATTAAACTGTTCAAAACCAAAGCTATAGTTGGAAAGGAGTAATTCTAATAAATTAATAGTCTACTATTACTCGAAATATAAGTCCGTTACGAATTAAAACAAATTAACTATAAAATATAATTGTTGTTTTAATATCAGTAGTATGCTCGGCCTATGCGAATAATTAGAACCGTCAATACTTAAGCCAGTAATAGTGCTGTAATCATTATATACTTATATTTCAAAGTAGGTATGAATAGTAATTTAAATAAAAGCTTATGAATAGATGTGTATAACTTAGTATTAATTTAAATTAAACATGTATATGTTAAAATGAGATACGCTATTGTGCACAACATATATAAGGGATCAATTGGGGTATTTTTTTTTCATAAAGAACAACAGATCACTATTTATTAATCCCACAGGTCATTAGAATCTTTAAATATATAATGTCATTGATACTTAACGGACGGTCAAGAACTAGACGTTAAACTTTCTTAATATAAATGTATACCAATACAGGAGTGATACACGTTATAAGATGAGATTTCTAACTATATTTGGGCCACGAATCCCTAAGAAATTACGAGTAAAAGCTCGATATCAAGTGACTTCCACTCTCTACTTACTAAAGAAAGCAAAAAAATGGATCACATTTTTGTGACACGAACGTAGTCTTAAATTTATACCTTTTCATGTAGATCACATGTTACTATTAGTATTGAATCGTAATTCTACTGGTGCACTTCCACACCTATACTCGCGGATTCCTAGTGATTCGTGGACCATTGGATGTGGATTTATACTCGCATCATGACTTTTCTATTGAAGAATTCAATGTCAAGAAGAATTAATTAAGTCAATTCGAAAACGTAATATTAAATTCGCTTATGCTACTTTAGTTACCTTATAAATAATATAATCAAATGAAGTATTAATTTTTGTAATATATTATGTCACATGTAATAGCCCCAATTGTTTCTTAAAATCTATTTATATCAAAACTCCGGTGTTCTATGGTTCAATGTTATAATATGGTGTTATAAAAAAAAAACTAACTGTAATGTATCTGCGGAATTAATGTTGTAGTTTTTAGAGGGTTTATGTTGAAATGTAAATGTAATATTCTAATGAAATTATATACATAATACGCACTTTACTATTGGTTTTTGTTCTCATATAATATAATCGCAGTTACGCTACTAAATTTAATATTAGACACAAATGCCTGGCTATTTTGGACTGAAAACCACAAAACACTATCATATAAGAAAAATAAGTTCAAAAATATTTAAACCTCATTGATACATATCAGTAACGTATCAGTTCTGACCAGTGTTGCAATGTGTACATTGATTACGGTAAATGTACCGTCATCAACACATTTTTTCCACTTACCATGTTAGCATCATAACGGTGACAAAACCTACCGTAATCTGTTTATTAATAACTTTCAAATATTAGAAGTTTTGATCTCGGTTTAGGTCAGCAATTCCGATATCCGGAAAAGCATCCTCAAAAATGAATGAATCGGGAAGTTTTTTTTGGTAGGGAAATTCCTTTCGCGCATTTAACTTTATAGCTGTCGGCGAAATGTTGAAAGGACTAACTCAGAACATTTACAAATATGAGGATTTTCTCTTATTGTGACTAATTTTATATGTGTAGTTTATACAACTTTTGATCGAAATATTTAGACCTGAATTTATGTTTTATTGAAAATTGTTGTTTACACCAAACTTTTCCTATACCGTTCTAAGAGTCTACCGTATTTTTTGTAGAATTACCACATTGCATATTTAAGACATGGCAGAACTGGTTCCGACACAGTACCGGAATAGATCCGTATCTTGTCATTAGTTTCTATATCTCATAGCACGGCATGATGTAATGAAAAATGTATTTATAGAACCTTAGAAGTCAGCAAATAAACAAAACAACGACGCTTAGGGCAAAATAATGTGAAAAAATATCGGATGTCTGCAACAAAGACACAATTATCAATAATCACTACAAAACAAGAATATAAATAGAAAAAGAGATTGAATATCGCTAAAGTTCAAAGGTATTATTCTTTTGGAGAAGATTATTATTTTAGTTCTTATATTTTATTACAGTTCTTTGGATTTTACATCTTCTGTTTACTACTAATAATCTTATCGCTTAAAATTAACTGATTAAAGTCTAGAGCATATTCATTTTCACTAGGAGCATCCGGTCACAAGAATGTCGCATAAGCCAGCCATCACTTCTCTCGACCACTTTTAGGGAATGTTTACACCTGATCCACAAGAAACCACCGTACATATTTTACCCATTCATATTAATCAAAGTAATAAATATATCTGTTTTTATTCATCATCATCATCGGCCGTTTTACATCCCCACTGCTGGTGCTCAGACCTTCCTTGTGGATAGTTGAGGAGGATGCGTCTTGACCCTCCATGCTGGCCCAAAGCGGATCGGAGAGTATTACCGACTGCAAATGCAGCCGTGACCAACGGCTTAGTGACAACGGTTTTTTTGATCACCCACCATTACGGAAGTTTATTACTACGCCACAGAGCTACTCTAAAATTCCGTTATAAAATCAGCTTCAAACCCAACGACAAATACCTAGCTGTCACACCATAGAGCATCAATCAAATGAAACCTTTATAACCTTTTGAAATGGGTTTATGTTTTTGAACCTCTGTGCTGTGTGAGCGCTGTGCTCGACGTCGCATTCGAAGCTGATTTTATAACAAAATAGCACTACAGAGCTTACCAATATTAGTTCCCTTTACACAGACAGAAGGTAAATTTGACAACTGAATAGATCAAGAGTTCGTGACAATAATGTGTAAGAATTTCTAAAAAGTATAAAATATCACTCAGTACCCAGTGCGTAGACTAGGTGCTGGAATACCTGAGCGCTGAGTGTGATTTTTTTGGCAATAAATTTACCATCGATTGTGAGCGCGAAAAACTACCAAAAACGAAAAAATCTTCAATCAAATTCTTAACACGCTTAAAAGTGAACGCGTTAACGTAAACCCATGTAAAACTTACACTTACCACTTTGATGGCGGAGTCGTGAAACACACAAGCGATTGCTGATTTTTTTGTTCCACTAATTAATAGTCTGATCCCAAACGAGCTTTAAAGTTTAACGACAACCAAGCTCTTATATGTTCTAAACGTTCTAAATTTTAAATTGGTAATGTTGCTTTATACTAAGAACAATTTTAATGGACCTTTGTGTTCACAAAAAATAGTTCTATTTTTTTCAATAATAGTTTCACAATTAATTGATTTTCAACCATTACTAAAACCTTTTTCGGTGCTGATTTTCGCCCCAACTTCCGAGATCTACTGAGGCGCAACGTTTCACAATTGTTTGAAAACTTCATTCTATTTTTTTTTAATAAAAAATAATAGG